CGCGGGAAAACGCGGGTAAACCATGGTCACGATTGGTTTGGTTGCTCCTGATTGGTTAATTAAAACAGCATGCTTGCTCTGATTGGTTGAATAAAAGAGCATGCTGCCTCTGATTGGTTAGAGCAAGTGTCATGAGGTTTTTGAGTTTTTTATAACCAAACGTGGGGCTCAGCAAACGCACACTTTAAACTTTCGACGGTCAGTTGAAAAACCTCGTTTGGAGTGTTCACTTTTCATCAAAGGAAATTAAAAATGAATTAAGACAAATAATGGAACGTTTTAGAAGGATCGAAATGTTGTCGGAAGCAATCCATGGCTGTATACTGGTCTTCTACGTACACAAATGATCGTCGCGCTATCATTCATTGGAGCACGCGCCGAGCTCAAGCCTAACGTCGTTGGACTTTAAAAAAAAACACACACACACACACACACACACACGAAAAATCAGCTTAGAGAGAAATTTTGTTTTTGGTAAACAACAACTTTATTTAAGTATCGGTGTATTTAGCACTGGCTGTGCTAATTGTTGGCTGTAAATCAGCAAACAAATATTGTAAATTGAACGTAAACTTGTTAAGAATCCCAACTGGTGGGAGACTAACAAGTTGGCTATTTACAAAAGCGCGACCGAGGAGTTGAACTCGGGACTACCAAGAACAAATCCAGCTAGTGGCTAGGATGGAGGATTTAAACCAGGCAACTCCAGATTTCAAATCCAGCGCCCTAAACCACTCGGCCACACCGCCTCCCCAAATCATCCGTAATCATCGCAAAACACCATCACTTACCGTCCGCAGAGTCCGGCGCCACTTGTCCACTGATACTAACTCCCTCCAGAGCTCGCATCATTTCATCTTCTTGTCGGTTTCTTCTCCTTTTGTTTCATGATCTTCACCGCTCGTTCTGCGCTCATCAGCGCGGAGTGCACAATGTCGAGTACCATGCACTCTAATTCCGGGTCACGTTGCTGCTTCTCTTGGTTGTAGTTCCACACGAAGAATGTGTGACTTGGAGAACTTCCAGTGGCCGCGGAAGCCTCATCAAGGGCGTCTTTACACTCTCTTCCGTATCCAGTTTGTCACGGTGAGTGACAACGGTGATAGGTTCGATTCCTTTTGTGAAAAGAAAGAAAGAAAGAAAGAAAGGTTAAAATGTGCGAAAGGAAATAACCTGAGTATCAGGCGAATTTTTCCACGCTCTCTTTTACCATTCGTCTTTACGTGGTCGCGCTGAAAAATTAAGCCTGATACAATTCCTCAACGAGATGCCTTCCGCCCCCTTTTCGTGATGGATTGACATTGATTGGCATGACTTCTAAATAGCCAATCAAAATTACTTCCGATACGCGACACTCGCGAGAATGCTGGATTTCCACGAGTGGAACGAAACAGCTTTGGACGCCATTTTTGTTGTGAATGTTTCGAGAGGAAAGTTTGAAATCAAATCTTTCAATTTTCCCGGTATTTATATCTACATGGGAGATTTTGCCATTCAAAGAAGGAAGGACTATTAGATATTATGTGAGTAAACAGCACGGCTAGCGAAGTAATAGTAAGCTTATCTTCGTCGATCGATCGAACCTACTCTGTGGCTATTCTGTGGCTGTTGCGATCGACTACAACCTACAACGCGATGACATGCGCTTCATTTTCTAATAAATAGATTGATGTGATTTTATTGTTAGATCATTGACTTGTACTGAATGGACAAAACTATTTTGCGCCCGGATTTTGCGATAGATAATTTGTAAAGCAATCATGGAAAGCATTTTAAACATATTTTAAAATAATTATTAAATGTTATGCTACTTTGGATCAAGGAATGTGATTTCTTGGAATATCCTTTTCGTAATCCCATTATTTTATTTTGAAACATATTCCTTTCTTGGCCACACAGTGGATTTTAGGGAATTTGAGCCAAGTATCAGAAATTTGTGTGTAATAATAATTATTGTACACAAATTTCTTGTCAAATTTCTTATCTGACATAATTTTAAAACCCAGAGGCATGAACTTTATGGATGAGGGGTGACAGGATCGGACACTGGTAATGATTTAAAACAAAAATAACTTAATATACAGTTGTAGAGCTACTCTTGCATGGTTGCTTCAGGTCGGGAAAAAGCCAGCAAATTATTTTCATGGTACCAAGGGAAAATTCGGAGAATTTAATATCTGGTCAGAGAATTCTTAATTTCTCAAATAGGTAGACAGGAGGTTGCTACATGTTTTTATGATGAGTATTTGTTGATGCAGAAGACTGTCTTATTATGGCCAAAACATGTTTTGTGGAAAAGAAATGAAGCAAATTGCACATGTCATCAGCTTGCCTCTGGGGTAGACCCCCGGGACAACCAGGGGAATTGTAAACTTAGTTAATCTTGACCCAGTGGTAGGGGAATCCGGATGTTTCTCAACAGGTTTCTCTCACATGATATCCACCTTATATATAAGGGTAATAGAGAGGGATTTGTCTCAGTGATTCATGACCAGGCGATAGTCTGGGATCATTTTAAAATTTTATTTGTAAATCAAACAGATATGTCATCACTATTTTCAGAGAAAGTCATAGGTAAGGTTTTCATCTGATATATACCGGTAATATGTCTCAGATCACAGACTCGTTATTTACCATGATTTTACAAACTTGTGAATTCCCCCACCCTATTCATTGAACTTAAAATATGGACACTTTCCATTCAACCCAAAATTCCAGGAAAAAGTTGCAGAAATTTGGGTATGCTTGTCCGAACGTTCAGGAATTTCAAACTGGAATTTTTGGTCAAATGAATGCACCCAATTATAATAAGTATAGTATTTTCCCCAACCCAGGGGCAATCAATCAAATCCATCTCCTTGTATTCCCCAACAAATCTTAGCTTGTTACAGGCAGTCGGATAATGGAGTAGCGGCGAGGGGATTGGCCCCACTCTTCACACTCTTGCGCCTACTCGTACCGCCTCTCACTATCTGAATGCCTGTAACAGGCTACAACATATCCCCCTGGTTGTCCCGGTGGTTGACCCCAGTCCCAGGGGAGAAGGGGGGGGGGGTACCTGACCCATGTTTGGGTATAGGGGTGCCACTGAGGGTTTGAAAACCTGACCCTGTTTAGGACAAAAAAACAATAAAATACCCTAAAATACATACCCTGTGTAGGACAACATCCTCTATTTTAGGACCCTGTTTAGGTTGCAATTTAGCGAATCCCATTTGACTGATACGCGGCAAACGTCTCCGATCTCTAAATACTTGTATAAACCATATTTTTACGACTACAATCGTGCAACCATACCCTGTTTAGGACAGACTCGCATGAGATTATATACCCTGTTTCAGGGCAGAGCCAAAAACCATACCCTGTCCAGCGGCACGTCCCCGTATAGGCCACATAAGGGAGTACCCCCCCCCCCCCCTCCTCCCGGGACTCCTCCCGGGACCCCAGTGGCCTAGCCGATGAATTCATAATTTCATATTGAAATTTATTACATTGGTTAATTTTCATCTGATCAGTGGTCTTATTAATATAGTCAGTGAAAAGTCCAGCAACCACGGTTTGATAAATTTCAAGTCGTTTAATAATTCGATTTATAACAATTTCTACAACACCACTGTCAACAAATAAGGATTTTTTCAAGGCAGTATAGCCATAACTTTGTGCAACTTGATATGTCCTTTACTTTATTATTGTAGAAATGTCGATTTTGTTTTCTATCCAATTTTGCTATATAGGGCGTTCTACACTGTACGTTACAAAAGCTTAATAAGCTTATATACATTCAATGAAAAATTTTACATAAGCAAGCTTATGTCTTTGAATACTACTAAAAACACGCAGAAACAAATAAGCTTAAAATTCACTTCATTAAAATATACAATATTCTCGTACTGCTTACTGTCCTTTGTCTTAAGTAGCGGCGTCCATCCACGAAACAAGGGTCAAATACAGAGGCTGTCATGTACATGTAAAGCATCCAAAACCAAATCTTAAACAGACAGCTACAGATAATAGCTGACATACAAGCTTAGCTGTATTCTTCGGAAATTCGAAGTCTTCCAGTCGTTCGTGGACTGAAAATCCTCGTAACTGTAAGCCTTGTTAACTTCCCAAAATACTCAAAACCGAAAAAAAATCCTGAAAGGGTTGATTTCATCGACCTTTGATGAAGAAAGTTGAACAAGAACACAAGAAATGCCTCTTTCCAACATGGCGGATTTCGCTTGACTCTCCACGAAACTTGCAGTTGCTTTTACTTCCGGCGGAGCTCTATTGTTGAATCAGCCAATCAGATTCATTAGAGCACGGCCAAAATATGGCCGTGCTCTGTAATTGGCCGACAATCTGTAGAAGAATTGTATGAGGCCCATTTTTAGCGCGACATCCGTAAAGAGATTTTAAGCGCGAAAAATGGCCTGTTCGCAGGTTAGAAAGGAAAGGAAAGGGCTTTTCTCTTCTCTTCTTTTCCCCGGCCCCTCCCCCCTCTGGTCGCTTTCGTGCCTTTCCATCAACCCCTCTTGCTACATTATACCTTAAAGATGGGAACCAGTACACTTATATATGTAGATATCAGATGATTGATTTTTCATTGTTCAAGCTCTAACCTCTCTGTTGGCGCGACATACAGTTGAACCTCGGTATATTTCGAACTCGGTTATTTCGAACCTTGCTAATTTCTTGAAATAAAAATTGGATAAGGTACACGTCTTTCCATCATGTTAACTATTAACGATTATTTTGATATTTATTTTGATATTCCCAACTATTTTTCGTTTCCCATGAGAGTTCGAAATACCGAGGTTCAACTGAAGGTTTTTTTACTGAATTTGTCAAACCAAGATATATCGGGTTTTTCGCCATTTAATCAATTTTACATCATGTTTTATCGATCGTCAAATTAAAGCTACCCACACGGATTTTTTTGGACGCAATTGTGTTTACCGCTGCAAGTTACGATGGAGACTGGGGCCAGTTAACTATAATATTGTCATAGAGTGGGGAGTCGGGTAGGAGAACGGAAATCCGAAAATAAAGGAGCTGCGGGAGACGGGAAAAGAGCGTGCGGGGAAGCGGGATACCCAAGCTGGTGGGAACCGGGAGAAATAGAAAAAAGTTCGCAATAGCAATCAGCATAATTAAAGAGGCGGAAGCCACTATGAAGAGCCCCCCGCTCATTGAATCAATGCAAGGAATGACCAAAAATTGAAACATACCAGTTTTACGCAGAATATCTCGACTGGTTGAAATAATCCTTCAACTCTCCCTCGCTCAGCCGTGGGTCGGTAGCCTTTACAACAATAATAATCCCGTGCAGTCTCTGTCCAAATTCTGGACATTGAATGCATATCTTGTGCACTGGCCTGGCCATCTCCACGAAAGTGGATGTCTTCACCAGACTGGAGATTCCCGAACTCAGAATGTTCTCAACACACGAACATCTCGTTTAGCGCTGTATAGTTGAAGAAGGTCTCCCTGGTTGTCGACCAAGTGGAAGGAAACATCTCTGGCAGGTAGTCCTCTCCGAGTGTGATGGTCTCCCTCCTGTCCGGTGGTTGCTGTCTGGGGCGGATCCTTTTCTCTGTCTCTCAACCGCTCGTTCCACGACGTGTTGATTAAAGCCAGTTCTTAATCCAGATCCAATGCTGGCCAAACACTCTCGATCCTGAACAGCTGGGTCACGTCTTGCAATTTGTTAGTCGGCACGGAAATTATGCAAGCCCTGGTCTTGTCGCGCAAATTTGTAATCGAA